TAGATCACCTATAAAGGAAAGCCCATCAGAATCTTGACAGACTTCCCAACATGAGCCAGCACTTCCAGTGTAGTGTGTCAAATCATGAAAGAAAACAACTTCCAACCCACATTGATGCACCATGCAAAACTAATAGAGAAACAAGATACTTTCATGACACAAAACAATTAAAGAAATTCATGACCACCTAGCAAACCCTACAAAGAATACTCCTGACAGACATTCTAGAGAGATATGAAAAAGACCAGGAAATCAGCAGAGGGAAATCACAGAGTGGGACAGATCATTGAATGGAGGAGAAAAGTAGGAAGCCAATGGCAGGAAAATAGCATGGCAGAGATGATCCAGTGCGTATTGGCCATGACCATTAATGTAGATGGCCTCAATTCACCAATAAAAAGAAACAAAAGCAGAGTGGATCAGGAAAATGGATCCATCTACGTGCTTTATACAGGAAATACATTTAACTCAAAAGGGGGTTCATAGACTGAAAGTCAAAGGTGATAGAAGAATAAGATCCTTTGTGAGAGGTAGCCAGGAAGAAGTAGGGTAGCTTACCCACCAGCTGCAGAGTAGATAAGAAACACATGGCATTTTTATACAATGGAAAGCTACTCGCTCAACAATAAAGAAAGATAAACTTGAGGCTCTTGTAGTTAAATGATTACAACTTGAGATCATGCTCAGGGGTGAAATGGTTCTGAGTCACATGGGTAAACATTCTGTTGTCTCCCTAGTATAAAAAACTTAAAGAGTTAGTGGGCTTCAAAAGATACAATAAATATTGTGACAGGGAAAGGAAAGGAAATATCCAAGAAAGGAAGGCAGTGGCCATTTTTACTGTGTTTTGAAACCCTGTGTTGTTTAAATTGTTTTGATTAGTCTGGTTTTAATCTGCTCTGTTATGTTTGATTTTATTGTATTTTATGGCATGCATAACTGTTTCAAAAATAAGAAAATATATTTTGTTCACCATTATTGACTTCCTAGTATCATTTGGAAGCTCAGTATTGCTTTTGCTGTTTTGGTTTGATTGATTTTATTCTATTTTGTTTTGTTTGATTTTATTGTGTGTGATGGTATGCACAGCTCCTTTGAAGATAACAAGAAGCATAACAGTAGCCACTGATATTTTCCTGTTGTTTTGTTCTGAGATTCTATATTGCTTTCATTGTTTTATTTTGCTCTGTTTTCTTTGGTTTTGTTGTGCCTGAAAGTATTGCTAATTATTTTGAAGATAACAAGAGACATTATGGTGATACCCATTGTAGATTTCCTCTTATTTTGTTTTGAAGTCCTGTACCCAATTCATTGTTTTGTTTTAATTAACGCCAATGTGTTTTATTTTGTTTGGTATTATTCTCTCCAAAATAAACTTTTAAAAAATATTAAACTTTTCTCAACTGTTCCTGTGGTTAGAAGGCATACTTCTCTAAGAGTGACAATGCTACAAGCTCCCTAATATAGTCAAACTTATGATCCATCACCAATCACAACATGACATACACTTAAGTGTTTACATAGTTTCTTATCTCTTCCTTGATGAAGATATAAAAGTAATTTGTCTTTCATGAATAAAATGTGTAAATGTTGACCCTTCACATAGTGGAGGATAAGTATTTGCTGTAGTTATAAGGGCTGAGGAAGGGGAAAATGTGTAAGCACAAAATTAAAGAAGAACAGAAGTTTTTTGGGATTCTGCAAAAGGGATACATGCAATCTAGAGAACCAAGTTATTCAGGCAAAGTTGGAAGACCTGGAGGTCCTGGCAGAGTCCCATGCTAGCTTGTATCAGGAAAAAGAGGGGTCTTGCTGGAAGGCTAAAAAGTGCACTGGAACGTTAAAATATAAGCACTGGAAACCAGGAGATAAACCTTCAGAGGCAAAGGTGTAGACAGATATCTGTGGGGGGAAAAAAGCACAACTGAGACTTTTTTCTTCTTTCTGTTTTTATTCTATCCAGGATATAATAATAAGTTGTTTCAATGCAAAAACAGAATGGATCTTCTTTTATTGAACTATATCTGTCATACAAATGTAAAGAGAACTACCCTAAACCCATCACCCAAGAATTTCTTTTTTTTTAATTTTATTTAAGGAGAAAAAAAAAGCAGAGAAAGGGTACAAGTTATACAGATTTACAGAAAAAAAAATAAACAGTAGGAAATCACTAGTTAATTGATTACATATTGTCATCTTAGAAATAATTGTTCAAGTCACAAAATTAAAGCTTGTAAAGTGGACATTCCAACAATGATACTGCAAACAGTTCTGTTCAATGATCCAATAAAACTCAGTGATATTATTTTCTATCTTATACACTTAAATATACATGCAGTTATATAGTTTAGAGCACTTTCTTTTCCTCTCTTTTGTACAATGATTATTACACATTTTGGGTTTTATTGCTCCCACGGTTCTTATTACTTTTTTGGAAGAGAGTAAAACCAAATGTGATATAACAGAACAGAGTCGGTCAAATCAAAAGTGTGGACATAATAGATAATGTAAAAACATAATACAAGGTGATCAACAATGGTTACCATAATGCCTCCCGCTATCTCTAATAGAATTGCCTATATCATTAGTTATAATAAAATTGAACAAAACAGTAAAGAACAAAACCAACAAAACCAAAACATTGGAGACATTGTAGGTCTTCAAAAGTAGATAAAAGTCAACGAGAATGGGCGTCATAATGAGTCTCATTATCTTCACAGCTGTTGCCTAAACTTTCGAACCTGATACTATCCAGCAAAACAGAATAGGGGAACATCAGTCAAAACAAGATGGTGAGAGTAATACAGGGCTTTAAATAGAGATAATGGAAAGTCAAAGTGGGTTACTATAATATATCCTGCTATTTTTATTTATTTTTCTCTTAATTGAAAGGAAAAATAAAAAAGTAAATAATGGAGTGGAGATTGAGATAAAAGAGGGTATAACAGCAAAACAGTGCAGATCAAAACATAACCATTTAAGCAGAATAGTATTTCACCACCAGATAATCCTGACATAAAAGTAGTTACCATATTGTCTCTTTCCTTGAAATCCTTGAGTACAACTTCGTATACTGTAGCATTAAATATATCAAAACAATGTAAAACCATTAAGAGAATGACAGCATTACAGGGTATTTAGAATCGACTAACAGAAAATGAACAATGGTTTCTGTATAATCTCCTTGTCTTTAAAAGGTTTTTGCTTATACTATCATACATAATAAAATCCAATAAGATACAACCTATTTAGACCAATAGAGACAGAAGAACAAAAGCTTCATGAGACTTCAAAACAAGATGATACTAAATCAGTGTTACCTATTAAGATGTCATTTTCTCCAAAATAGCTGTTCCTATCATCCAATCTAGAATTTCTTATTCAAATGGACTCCACAGTATCTAGATAAGGGGCAAGAAAAAAAGACACCTTGGCTTATTTCTGTAACATTCTTTAACAGACATAAGAGAAAAATAACTAAATAAATCAAGTCAATTTCACCACATCTTTTGTCTTATATAAAAGTCATTGACCAATAAATTTATGCATTATGAATCTTCAGACAGTGGAGGGGATAAAATCTACAGATTAAGAGAAATTTGGAGATAATTTTGGCCCATATACATGTAGCACTAAAAAACTTGCATGTAATCTCAGATCAACAGGATATATCAGTTATAATGAAATGACAAAGAAAGCCATTAACTCAGGCCTAATACATGAAATAATGTCATTCATCATAGTGAAACTGGCCCTATAAAACAAAATTTTTCCAAGGCATCATGGTGCATGCCTGTAACCCCAGCAGTCAGGAGTGTGAGGCAAAAGAATCACTGCAAGTTTGAAGCTAGACTGAGCTACAAAGTGAATTCAAGGCCAGTCTGCACTGCATAGGGAAATCTCTACTCAAAATGAAGATATAAAACAAAATAAAATAATCAGCATGCTTTGAAATCTGAATAAACATAGAAGTAAAGAAAAACTATATCCTTGAACCATATCTACTAAACGACAATGTAAAAGCAAAACTGTCATCTACTCTAATCCAAAGAAGACATTTTGCCTTGTAAACTTCAATTAGGGCTCTTGGTACAAATCCACAGAGTAATATTTCACACTGAAACAATAACAGTACTATAGTGTTGGTCATTCCTTGGGTAACTGCTCCTAGTAGAGCCTAGTATTCCAAATTATAAGAAAACTACATGTAAGGGATTATGATGACTAGATTCACAGAAACAAGAACACCTGGTGACCCTCAGTTAACATCAGAATTTCTAATAACCTTCCTTACTCTTTAGATGTGTGACAGCTAAACCAAAGAATATAAATTTTTATGATATTTAACTTGTAGAAAAGTAATGTTTATATAAAGGGTACAGGAACAAATTTCTGAGGATCACAGTAGAACCCCGTGTTCCCACCAAGGGTGCCAGGGAAAATGGGTGGGAACCTCCTGGGATGAAGAAAACCTGTCAGTATAAGGCCTTCCTGACCACTGCCACACATAAATATTTCTCTCCTGTACAAGTCCTATCACATAATTGTGTTCCCTAATAAGGTCTATTCTCACAGATACAAAAGTTTCTTCATCTTCTGCAAAATCTAGTTCTTTAGTAAACCTGGTGTGCTTTCCAAAATCATGCTGTCCTGAGTACTGGCTCTGGAGGATCAAGCAAATGTACTTAGTCCAGTTATACTGTTCTAACTTCAAAGAAGGATTCACCCTCCAAAATCTCCTGCAATCTTACCTTCCTAATTAGCAGTGACTAACTTGTTCAGTGGCATATGTGATTTTAAAACAACAATAAGTAACATGTAAAATAAACTCTGCTTAAGGGAAAAAAAACACAAACTCTTAGAAAAATATACAAGTCAATCATTTTAAAAACTAACCTATGTTAAATAATGAATAGCTTATATGGGTAGGCTTACTAAATCAAGAGAAACTATAAAAGAAATGCTTGTGAAGCCTCCTTTTTAATTTTTAGGTCTGGTAAAAGAGAAAGTTCTGGAAAAGGCAAAAGCATGCAACTCTCAAGAGCAATAGGACTCTTCCATGGAAACATCTTCTTATTAAGTGCCACAGTAGGGGCAGGAATATTTATATCTCCTAAGGGAGTACTGAGTTGCTGCTTGCTGAACATTCCTGTCTCCTTAGGTATATGGGTCCTTTGTGCCATACTCAGTATGATCAAAGGTCTCTGTGCTGTAGAGGTGGGGTCCACCTTTCCTAGAAGTGGAGCTACTTATTTTCTCCTCAAAAGAACACTTGGACCCCAAGTTGCTTTCCTTAGTGTTTGTGTCAAACTTTTTGGTTATTTTGTAGCACTGAGTGCACAAAGCTTGCTGGTAGCTCAGTATCTAATTCAGCCTTTCTATGCTGGGTGCTCACCTCCAGAACTACCAAAGAAATGCCTAGCTTTGGCCGTTTTGTGGTCCTTGGGACTTCTGAATACTCAAGGGGTGAAAACAGTGTCCTGGTTTCAAACTGTCAGTTCTTTGATGAAGATGTCTATCCTCTGTTTCATTTCCCTAACCGGGATCGTGCTGTTAGTGACTGGGAAAAAAGAGAATTTGTACAGGTTTGAGAATGCTTTGGATGCTGAACTTCCTGATGCCTGGCAAATCGCAGAAGCCATTCTCCAAGGATTCTATCCATACATGGGATGCACACTCCTGATAAGCATAGCAGGTAAATCTATTTCTTAAAACAGTGAGCAGCATGCATAAAACCTTATCCAGAATAAATGAGGATGGCTGAATCTGTTACTCTTGCTTTCTGAAGTGCAGTTTAAACTGTTCCTTACTACATGATCATCATTAAATCCCCTAATACAAACATTCAAGGAGTCTATGGAGAACTGAGTGTTCTTCAGTTTATACCACTAAATAGACCTTTCGATAGGTTTGATAAGATAATAAGAATGGCTGCACTTCCTGCAAGTTATTGCATTTCATTCTATTATTCTGAGGCACTCTAAGTGTTACACAAGTAACACATCTGTATAATCTCATTCAGTAATATCATAAGATGTTTAACTCTGTTGTTCTCTTTTGTCATTACCACAAAATCTATCCTAAGCAGTTCTAACTCCACTCAGTGCTGTGGATCTTCTTTATTTTTGACATTGTGCTTTGTAAGTTATATATATATATATATATATATATATATATATATATATATATAACTTACAGTAGTAAAATGCTATTTCCCTACAGTAGTAAAATGCTATTTCTTAACTTTAATTTCACACTATGTTCTAATACTCATGCCTATGTTAATATATAGTTTTCTAGCAAATACTTTTGCCTGCATCATTACACTGTGTTACGTATTGATAGTATTTCTGAGACTGGTATAGTGAACATGATGCTCTATTATGAGACTCTTATATTCTCTGTACCATTGTGCCCCATGCTATGCATATAGTTCCAATTAAATTGTCAAAAAAGTAGTTTGAACATGTTGTTCATTGGTACAACATGTTTGAATGAATAAAACATAGAGTAGAAAATAACTTGTTTAATCTACTCAAAAACTCTACAGTAACACAACTCATTAGGTACGATTAAATATTGTATTACTATTGGGAACTGTTGAAGCTAGAAATTGACTACATATGCAGGGCTGGGGCATGACTCTCCCAAGAACAAAGAATACCTAGGATAAACCACATGAAGCTGTTTCAGCCCAGAGAACACCTAGTCCCAAGACAACCTGAGCAGTGCATTGCTAGGACAATGGTTATGATGTTAAGTTGCTAAAATGTGTAAATAAATGATATAAATAAATGATCATACTGTGAAGGGGAAGTTCCTTTTCTCATACTAGGAGAGTAAGGGCTCCCCCTGATCTCAATTTTATCTCTTTTTTATTTTCTCATTCTCTCGAAATTTTTCCAAAAACTTCAAAAGCCATGCGGGTTGTGGTATATAATCAAACAATATATTTGGAAACCTTGTATTGAAAAACAAACTTACACTCCTAGGTATGACACTCACATAAAATTTCTGTAGCATTTTATTATACCTTTAAATGATTATTCCTTGAAAGATGGTCAGGTCAATGAGACCCTTTGTTTACTCTTTCATACTATGAAAAGTGTAGAAGTGGTTTGATTTTTTTATTGAAAGAAAGAAGAAAAAAGAAAAGACAAAATAGAAATAAGAGAAAAAAGAAGAATATAGAATTGAAAGAAAATTAACATCATAAAATCACTACTTAATACATTACCTATTATCACCTTAACAATAGTTGTTAAAGTTACAAAATCAAAGCATGAAAAGAAGGTAGACATCCAAACATTGACAGTGTGCCTTTCTGTTCAAAAAAATCTAACAAAAATTTAGTAATATGATCATCTATCTTACACACTCTACATACCATTATAATCTTTAGAGGACTTTCCTTCCTTTTCACTTTTACAATATCTATTATACATTTTGGATACCATTATTATGACATTTCTTATTATTTTTTACATGAGAGACAATGTAATATTTACTAATGTGAGTCTTCTTTATTTCACTGATGATGATATTCTCAAATTGCCTCCATTTATCTATAAAGCTCTCAATATCATGTTTTTAGAGCTGAATAGTATTCAATTGTATACAAATACCACATTTTTTTTTCATCCCCTCTGTGGTTGATGGGAATTTTGGTTGTTTCCAAGATTTTGCTACCACAAAATGTACTGCTATGAACATGGGTGCACATAATCACTGTGATATGATTTTTTTTTCAGTTTTTCTGGGAAAATACCCAGAAGGAGAATAGCTGGATTCAATGGAACTTCCCATCCTAGTCTTCTGAGAAAACTCCATACTGATTCCCACAGTGGTTGTACAAGTTTGCACTCCCACCAATAGTGGAGAAGTGTCCCTTTGTACCTGCATCCTTGCCAACATTTGTTATCAGTTAATTTCTTGATGGCAGCCATTCTTTGCAGGGTGAGATAAAATCTTAATGCTGTTTTAATTTGCATTTCTGGAATGAACAGTGATGGCAAACATTTCTTCATATATTTATTTGCCATTTGTATATCTTCATCTGAGAACTGTGTATTCATCTCCAGTGCCCATATTTGTAGTGGATCTTTGAATTTGGAGGCTTGATGCTTTTCAGTTCTTATATGTTCTTGATATAAGTCTTTTGTCTGAGGGATTGTTGGCTAAAATTTTTTCCCATTCTGTTACCTTTCTTTGCAGTTTATTGGTGATTTCTTTTGAAGTGCAAAAACTTTTTAGTAATATGAGATCCCAGTTGTTGATTCTTTGAATTATTTTCTGTGCAGTTTGCATTTTATTCATGAATTCTCTCCCTACCTCTCCAATATTTTTACTTACCTTGCCCTCCAGTAGATTTAGTGTTTCTGTTTTAATATTTAGATCCTTGATCCATTTTGACTTTCATTTAGTGTATGGTGATAGGCATGAATCTATTTTTACTCTTTGGCATGTGGAAAACCAATTTTTCCAACACCATTTATTAAAGAGGCTTTTTTCCAGGGAACAAGTTTAGCCCCTTTGTCAAATATAAGGTGGCTCTGTAATAGTGTTTCCATCTTCTCATCTGCTCCACTGATCCTCAGGTCTATTTCTTTGTCATTATCATGCTTATTTTATTACTGTGGCTTTGTAGTATTGTTTCAAGTCAGGAATTGAGATGTCTTCTGTCTTACCTTTGTTGCCCAGAATCACCTTTGCTATTCTAGATTCCTTCTGTTTCCAGAAGAACTTTAGGAATATTTATTCTATATCACTAAGATATGTTAATAGTGTTTTTATTGGGATTGCATTGAATCTGTATAACAGTTTTGGGATTATAGTCATTTTCAGAATGTTGGTCCTTCCTAGCCAAGAGCAAGGAATATTCTTCCATTTTCTAATATCCTCTTCAATCTCCGTTTTTAGAGAAGCATAATTTTCAGTATATAGGTCTTTTACATTCTTGATTCCTAGGTATTTCATTTTTTAGATGCTATTGTGAAAGGTAATATTTCCATAATTTCTCTCTCAGTGAGATTTTGTTTATGTACAGAATGCTATTGATTTTTGAGCATTGACTTTGTATTCAGCTATGCTGCTTAATTAGTTTATTACCTCTAATAGTCTTTTAATGGAGTTTTGGGGGTCTTATATGTAGAGTATCATGTCATCTGCAAATAATGAAATTTAATTTCTTCTTTTCCTATTTTTATTCCTTTAATTTCTCCCTCTTGCCTGATTGCTCTGGCTAATATTTCCAGAGCTACATTGAATAAGAGTGGTGATAGTGGACATCCTTATCTTGTTCCTGATTTTAGAGTGAAGAGTTTCAGGTTTTTTCAATTTAGAATAATGTTGGTTGTTGGTTCGTCATGGATGGCCTTTATGAGATTAAGGTACATATTCTCTATTCCGAGTTTCTGAAGGACTTTTATCATGAAAAGATGTTGGATTATCAAAAGCTTTGTCTGCATCTATTGAGATGATCATGTGAGTTTTATTTTTGGCTCTGTTGATGTGGCATATTACATTTATTGATTTGCATATGTTGAACCATCTCTGTGCCTCTGGAATAAATTCCACTTGGTCATGATGTATAAATTTGTTAACTACTTGCTGCATTCTATTTGCCAATATTTTATTGAGAATCTTTGCATTAATGTTCATTAAGAAGATTGGCCTATAATTCTTTTTGGTTGGGTCTTTCTCTGGTTTTGTTATCAGAGTCATACTTATCTCTAAGAATGAGTTAGGAAGCAGTGCTTCTCTTTCAATTTCATTTAAGAGTTTAAGGAATATTGGCTTTAAATCACATTTTTTATTTTAATAGCTGATATTTGGTTAACAATCAAAATTACTATGTTCTTGATTGAGCTTTGTTAGTTCATATGCTCCTAGAAATCTGTGCATTTCCTCTGTGTTTTCCACTCTACATGAGAACAGATTTTCAAACTAGGTATTTATGACCTATTAATTTTCCATGGGATCTGTAGTAATGTCATTCTTTTCTGTCCTTATTGCATGATTTGAGTTTTTCTTTCTTTTTCTTGATAAGTTGGCCAAAGGTTTTTGTTTTTTGTTTTTTCTCTCAAAAATTTATTTATTATCTCAAAAATTCTCAAAATTTTGTTTATTCTCTCAAAAAAATAGATCTTTGATTCATTAATTCTTGGTATATTTTTTAGCTTCAATTGCATTAATTTCTGCTCTAATCTTTACAATTACCTCACTTCTATGAGCTTTTGGATTGACTTGCTCTTCCTTATCTACAAGCTGGAGATGTAGCATTAAGTTATTTATTTGTGTTCATTCCATTTTCTTGATGTGAATGTTTATTGCTATATACTTCCCTCTTAGAACTAATTTCATTGAGTCCCATAGGTTACAGTATGTAGTATCTGCATTTTCATTGTATTTTAAGTATTGTTTTATTTCTTATTTAATTTCATCTGTTACCCACTGGTTGTTCTGAAGTTTTTTTTTTTATTTAATTTCCATGTCTTTGTTCAGGATTTGTAGGATTTTTTCATTGATTTCCAATTTTAGTGTGCTACAACCAGATATGATGCATGGGATAATTTTGCTCCCTTTGTATTTAGTTAAAAATGCTTTTTAATATATGGTCTATTTTGGAAAATGTCCCATGTGCAGCTGAGAAGAATGTATATTCTGATGTGATTGGGTGGAACACTCTGTAAACGT